TTCGACGACACCGTCGAAGAGTATTTGGACCGGATCCTACCCGCTTTAGTGGAGTCCATAGACGATCATTTCTCCATCTACACTTGGATCATCGAAGGGCCTCGCTACACACCACCTCCACGTCCGGCGCCATCCTCTTCTTCCCTACGGATCTACGACATCGTCGTCCTCGGAGTGGTTTCGTCACTAACATGTTTCTTCTTCTCCCAACGAACCTAGAGGTAGATGAATGAGTGCGGCTTCAAGGTGAGACAATCACTTTGTTAACCGCCGGATTCTTGTTGACCATTCATTTCCATTACTTTATTGAAGTTGTTATTTTATCGAACTTGTTAGCTTAGTTGAAGTTTCTTGCCGAGACATTGTTAACTTCTAAGATTTCCATTGAATCGTCAAATTAGCAAAGCTTGGAATTGTATTATCAATACTTTAAAGAACTTTTATTAATTTTACAAGAAACAATCCCTGGTTTCACATCAACAAGTCTATTCGCATCTTGAAATCTTGTTGAATTTGGTTGTACTTGATGTTATTATTAGCCATTTTAATGTTATCCTTTTTTGTTAGAAATGTCTTCATCAAATTGTGAGTTACGTGGGTGATACCTGAGTTACTGGTAGTGAGGACATCATTTGCCACCACCAGGAATTCCTTGATGATGTCCTCCATCACATTTAATATGCCATGATTGTCATGCTAGCACAAGCACAGTTTCTCCGATCCATGAGGTTGATTATTTCCACCAAAATCTATTTGGTGCTGGTGTTGTTCGTCGTTGTCAGGCAATCGTTGTTAGACATATGTTTCTCTGTTTTTGAGATTCCCCAAACGAGTTCCCATGATCAAATAATATTTTATGTTATTAGGTTGTTGTTTACCCTTTATTGCTTCAAACATTGCGAGTGTTTTCAACATCATTGATTGATTGTGCTTCATCCTAGTTAGGTATTTACTTGTTGAGATCACACACCACATTGCCTTGTCGGCTTGTCCTTCGATAGCCATCACAATCATTATTTCCCTATGACTATATCGAAGCTTCAATGTCATCAAGTTATTATAGTCTTTAGTTTCTCGATTTTCACTCATCATTAGCTCTCATTGTCTCTTCTTCATCCATTAGGTGCCATCAATTATCATTAGTTTGAATACTAGTTGGCCAACAAAGAGGGATAAGGGAACCCAAACAAGTTGAACAAGAAAGTAAAGTTTGTTGCCTTTATGTTATTTTTTTCAAAATTTATGAGTACAATTATATTTCCTTATTTGTTAACAAACCCATCGACAAGCTAAGGATAAAGTTAATTATGTGTAATAATAAAATTAACTAGGAAACTTAATATGCCAAATAAAAGTAAAGAAAAATATAGAAAATTAAATAAAATTAATTATTAAGTAGCTAATAATGATCAATGATGTGCTACACCATTATTTGAGATAGTTATTATTTATCAAACCTAAATTTCACTTGAATTTTCAATAACATCATTAAAAAATTATCAATTTCATTTCCCATAAACCACATACCATGTATTTTATTTGTTTTACTATTTATTGAATCTTAATTTAGTTTTTTAAACACCAAAATTTTTATATTAAATTAGTGTCGAAGATACATGAAATCAGAATAACATGTGTATGCCAAAAAAAGTACATTAGGTTAAGATAATATAACGTATAGTGAGTAATGTCTATCCTAGAGGAGTGAATTATGTTTAGATTCAAACACTAGCCAATTCCAGAATCCCAATATTGAAAGGTGATTCATTTTCACTTGGAATATGGTAAATTTGGGAGAATGAAGAAAAACTTTCTTCCGATTTGTGCGTCATCGAGTAAACACTAGTTGAACTTTTTATCCATTAAAAACATAAATTATGATAGATTTTTGCGATTGAATCAAACTAGAATTATCAAATGCCTTCACTTTGGATAATCAATTGTTGAATTGGTTTAGCCAAATCTAGCATCACAACAACAAACAACAATAACAACAAGCCTTTATCCCACTATGTGGGGTCGGCTACATGAATACTTTTTCTCCATTGTGTTCAACTGTTCGTCTAAGAGTCAAATTCTCATTTAGATCTAATAAAGAAAGATTATTTCTAATATTTTCTAATCATGTCTTTTTAGGTCTACCTCTACCTTTCTTAACATAGGTTAAATCTGATACATATACTCTTCTAATTGGGTCATCAGAAGGCCGCCGTTTTATGTGACCAAACCATCTAAGACGACTCTCTCTAATCTTATCTGCCACTGGAGCTACTCCAACCTTTTCACGTATATGCCCATTTCATATCCTGTCTCTAAGAGTAAAGCCACTCATCCACTTGAGCATCCTCATCTCTGCAACACTTAACTTAATATTATGCTTCTCTTTTAGGCAATTCTAGTATCACTTGGAGAAGAAATTGTATGAACAATTATGAGATTCTTAATTGGTTGGTGAATATGAGGAACAAGGAGACCCAATATCCAAAATAGGAGGAAACATGGATGTTATCAATCAACAAACTATCTACAACAAATTAAGACACTAACTTGAGATGAATTTAGAGGATTATTCACATCATAAGAACACCCCAAGTGGCCTAAGGCAAAGTAAACACCACCTAACAATCTTCTATACTTCATTTGATCATGAGTATTTCTAGCACAAATAATTTGCATGTGTATATAATCATCAAAAGAGCTAAGTCCATCATTGGGAGCCCTTGGGTTAAGTAATAAATGTAATATGTGCATTAGTGGGTATTAATTAATTATGCTTACATGTTATTACGGTGTCTTATTGGGTAATAAGAGTTCTTAGGATTTATAAATACTTCTCACATGGAGTATTAAGATATGAAGCAACCCTCCCCCCCCACACACCCATAAAAAAAAAGAACCTTGGAATTGGTGGCATCCTACAATTGCGTAAGCCTTTTGACCCCTCTACCAAGAGCTTTAGGCGAGTTACATTTGCCTATTTATCAACTAATTTGATTTTTTATCCATTTTATGTGATTTTTGAGTTTGATTTGTACGCCTAGACTTGGATATTTTTTTCAAGCACAAATGACCAATGCAAAATGACAAAAAAAATTATTGATGAACTTCGATGCAATCCTTTTATGACTGGAAAGTTTTTAGTCACTATGAAACCTCTTCTTGCACTAGTCACATGTTTTCCATACATATGTTTAATAACTTTTCAGAGCTTTAGCTTTCTATAACTTTTTTCATTTAAGTTCCAACAAAGATGTTCTCTAATTGCACGATCGTATTCCTTCTCAAAATCAAAGTAATGGCATTGATGAGGTCTTAAACACCTACTATATCAGATCGAAGTTTTTATTCTGAAGTAGCTACTAATAGTTCATGGTCGTTACATCAATACTTTCAGGGGTTTTGTGGTTATTAACTAAACTTTTTCTTATATTGACTAAACAAGAGATAATGTAAGAACAACTGTATGATGCATTTGTTTTCTCTGGTCATTTGCAGGATTAATCAATGTTTGATTTTCATTTTTTGATGTCTTCTTTTTGGATTGCAGAATAACTGTTTGCATATAATGGAAATGGCTTTAATTTCTAGCTCTACTATTGACCATCATGCAACAAAAAATGAGTCCTTAAACACCTTACTGGGTTTATTGCCTCCTATCACCATTCAAGATGGTAGTGGTGATTTTAAAAATGGTCCTGCATCCAGCCTGAAAGGTAATAATCTTCTAAGTGCATGTTGGAGGTAACCAATTTTTAAGTTTTTCCACATGAAAAATGCATTTTCTTGGTTCTTAGATTTTGTTTATTTCTTTTGAGAAGGTATTAACTACTTGAAAGAGGGTTATTCTGTGGATAGAGTCCTGAAATTCTTATCTTTGGATAGTTCAAACCCAGATTGTTGTCTTCCCAGACAATTTTCCGAATATCCAAATACTCAATTTTCAGACAAGATAATGTCAATTGCACAGCATTGGGCAGTTGTTTGCTTGAATTGCTTCCCTCGTCTACTCATACTTTGCGAACAACTACTTCAGCCTCCCATTTCTTTTGATGACAGGATGGATGATGGAAGTTTTAGTTCTAGAGTGGCATTTGTTGGAAGAATTTTTAAATTTCTTGGACATCTTATGAGGGAAGTTACTCTAGATACTTATGCTGCAGAACTGTTACATGCAGTGGCAGGTTGTGCTGATGCGATTCTTCCTTTGTTCAAATTGAAAATGGACTTTCTGAATTTTGATCCGGCAAATACTGGTAATAATCTCGGGAGCTTGGTGTTACTGGTTTTGGAGGAATTTCTACATTTTATCCAGATTGGATTTCTGGATGGTCCGGTAACTCAAAATGTTCGCGTATGCATTGTTGCTTCCATGTTAGATATTTTGGACTGCAACTCCTGGAGATATGATAGTTTACAATCTTCTGTAGAGGCTCCCTTAGTTTACTGGCCTCAGTTTGTTTTGTACATGGTTAAGCTTCTTAAAGATGCTAAAAGCTGGATGTCTCATGACAAGAAGTTTGTACTAGAAAATTATTACTTGGTATCTGATACTTATAGTCCTTGCTGCATTGGCTCGGGGAAGATCCTTTTGCTAAGAAACTATACGTGTGAGGAATATGTAAGCTTCATTTTTCCTCAATCAAAGCAATGGGTGGATGGTTTGATTCAGCTTGCATTTTTTTTACACTCAGAAGGAGAAGACTTAAAAGCCAAGTTTGATAAACCACGTCTAACTGTGTTAAAAACTTCAATTTCAATGGAATCTGATGGTGGAGCTAATCATGAAGATGAAGCCCTTTTTGGAGACCTTTTTTGTGAAGCCAACCGACCCATTGGATTTTCAGATGGGGTCGAACAACCACCTTTAGCAGTTTGTGGTACTTTTGAAAGCTATCACTTGCCAATCCAAGCTGCTTCTGAACTGCTGTTCTTTCTTAAGGTGTGTATATTTTCTCCGGAATGGGATAGTACTATTTTTGAGCATGCTTTCAGAATGGTCAATGAGAATCACATAGATTGGTTGCTTCTTATGCTTGGTTGCCATAACTGTTTGTTTGAAGCAGAAAAAGGTACAGTTGCACCTTCAAAAGGAACCATGCATGTGAGTCAGATCTGTTATGACCTATTGCTCATTATTCTTGGCCACCAAGCTTTGTCTTCTTCCTTGAGAGAAAAGCTTGTTGATAAAGTCTTACGAATAGAAAATGGAATGCATATCTATAACAGTTACGCTCTTGCTCTGTTAGCTCATATTTTGGTTTCCCATTTGAAATTAGATCGTAGTCATCTGACAATGAAAATCTTCAGTGAATATGTTGGTTTTGTTTTGGGGAAGGTTGAGAGTGTCTGTTTTAGATGTCCTGATTCCAATGATTTCTTGAAGACTCTACCTTGTTCTTTCCACTTGGAAATTCTTCTTATGGCATTTCACCTGTCAAATGAAACTGAAAAGGCTGCAATTGCTAATTTCATCAGTTCTTCTTTTAGACAGATAAATGCACCTCCTGATGGATGTAGTGCAAAGCAGCTATCTTATTGGGCTATTGTAGTTTCCAAGCTGCTCTTGATTCTGCGGCATATGTTACTTTACCCACGAACTTTTCCTTCATGGTTACTTCTACGAATGAGATCAAAATTGAGGGAAATCGCATCCGGAAAATCTTTGTATCATTCATTAGATGATCATATGCCATCCTGGGCATCCATTGTGGCAGATATGATGTTTGAAGATTGCGGAAAAATGTCAATTGATGTTATTTGGCATTCTCAGTTGATTGATGTCACTCCTCTTTTCGATCCCCAATGGAGGGAAGATAGTTCTATCAAGTGGTTGGGATTGAATTGGAGTGATATTTCAGCAACAACTTCATGGATTTTGGATTTTTGGAGAGATAAGAAGGCTGAAGCTGTGGAGCATCTCATAATTGAAAGATATATCTTCTTTCTTTGCTGGGGTACTATTTCAAATACCGATTTTGATGATTCTTCCTGTGTTCATTCTTCAAGATGGTATGACCTTGATCCTTCTAGTGCTCTGCCTTTCTTTCATTTTGTCCTTACTGCCACAAGCAACAGTGGTGGTGATAATGATGGCACCATTGTTTTAGAAGACATATTGAATCAACTTCAGAAGTTTTATTTAGAGATTACATCCGCTGAGGCTCAAGCGCTTGGCTGGAATTTCTTGAGGAAGGGTGCATGGCTTTGCTTGCCTCTCTCTTTGATTAACTCTGGCATTGGGGAATATCTTTCGAATCATGTTAATTCTGTTGCTGAACCATTCTGTAACCAGAACCCAAAAAATAGCCAAAGTGAAGAGTTTTGGCCTCATATGGTTCAGAGCAATAAGATGGGATGGCTTTTAAATTTACTATCAACTATGTTGAGGACGCAATTGCAAGTTCTTCAGGAAGCATTTATTTTGGTCACCAATCGAACTGGCCAATTCCCTGCAGATGGGTTTTCTCCCATTTTATTGCTTAAATACACCGGGCTTAAGAAAAATGAACAGGATGTTCTGCTTCAGAAGTATGGTTGCAGTTTTGAAATGCTGGAGCCAACATTTGGCTTTATGTCAAAGCTTGAAGAGCATCTCAAACATGAATCTGGAATTAATGTTGGCATTTTCTGGAGGTCCTTTCTTCATGGTTTTCCATCAAATTCAGATCCTTCTAGTGCTATTTTGCTTTCCAGTGCTATCATTGTAAGAGAGATCTTGTGCACTTTGGAAGGGTGTCTCAAGATCAAAGATGCAGGATTGAACTTTCACATTGAGACTGCTGTGCTTCCTGAACTCCTTGAAATTATAATGAATATCCGAAATGATAGAATTTTTCAATGTATGCATGAAAAATGTGAAGCTTTGGTTGCCAGTATTATTGGACATCAAAAGGAATTGTTAGGTTATAGTGATTTGTTTGCCTTGAAGCAAATAGAAGGGCTTCTGGCTGCCATGAATTCCATAGACTCGGTTGATCCTGGGATGCATGAATTGCTTGTTGCACATGTCGTTGATTTTATTGAGGCCCTGCAAGGTGATGATTATAAAGCAGGAGTTTCTAAATATTATCTAGGTTCTGATGAAGAAATTTCTGAAGTTGCCAGAGAACTTTTCAAAAAGCAGCGTGGTGACTTGTTGGTTCTCATAAATTCATTAGATAAATGCCAGTCTGGGACTGTTAATTTGAAGGTCCTTAACTTCTTTAATAATCTTCTATCTAATGGAAATTGTCCTGGATTAGCAGAGAAGGTGCAGTTGAAATTTCTTGATATGAAAATGCCACACCTAACACATTGGTTGGAAAGTAGACTACTAGGATGCTTGATAAATTCTCCCAATGATGATGTTGATGCAAAGGGAAGTTCTACATCACTAAAAGAATCTACCATGAGTTTTATTACTTATTTGACAACACATCCTTTGAACAAATTCTCTGAACAGTTCCATGTTCATATTGTTGATGGTTTTCTTATGTTACTTGATAAAGCTTTTACGTCTTATGATCTTCACACGTCTAAAGCTTATTTCAGTTTTATGCTCCTGCTTTTGCATGGAAAGCCATCCATGAACCTACTTTTGGAGAGAACATTGCTGCTATTGGTGAAGCTGGTGGACAGTGAGGAATTCCTTCCAGGCTTAAAATTCCTTCTTAGTTTTCTTTGTTCCTTTTTGGGTGATTGTGGGGCGAACAAGAAAGCTATGGAAAGATTTCCATCAAAACTCAGCACAAATAATAGTTTTGGATCAGCACAAGTGAATCCAAAATCAATAGGTTCCCCAAAAAATGCCGAGAAACTGGTACTTACACGAAATCCAGAAAATGCTTCTGCATCAATTGATTGTGATGCAACTTCTGCTGATGAAGATGATGATGATGGCACTTCTGATGGTGATTTGGGTAGCCTAGATAAAGAGGAGGAAGAAGATGGGAATAGTGAGAGGGAACTTGCCTCTAAAGTATGCACATTTACATCTAGTGGCAGTAACTTTATGGAGCAACATTGGTATTTCTGTTATACTTGTGATTTAACCATCTCTAGAGGCTGTTGTTCCATTTGTGCCAAGGTCTGCCACAAAGGTCATCGTGTTGTTTATTCTCGGTCAAGCCGTTTTTTTTGTGATTGTGGGGCCGGAGGAGTCAGAGGATATGCCTGTCAGTGTTTAAAACCTCGGAAATTTACTGACACCAGCAATGTACCATCTGGCGGTGCTAATAGTTTTCAATCTTTCGTGCACCTGTCTGAAGATACTGATGAGGCACCAGATAGTGACTCAGATTTGGACTATGATGCTTGCGTAGATATTGACGATTCATTAAAGTTGTCTATTTCTAAAGATTTTCAGATGGAACTGCCAAACATGCTTGAAAAACTTGATCTTGAAAGTCGGATAGTTGAAATTTGTGAGCGTCTACTTCCTGCACTTATCAGTCAAAGGGATTCAACTATTTTGAAGGATAAGGAAATAGCACTTGGTGATGATAAGAAAATATCCTACAAAGTTGATCTCTTACAACTAAAGAAGGCTTACAAGAGTGGATCACTTGACCTGAAGATCAAGGCAGATTATCCAAACTCCAAGGAATTGAAATCACATTTGTCTAGTGGTTCTCTAACAAAATCATTGCTTAGTATTAGTGTTCGAGGTAGGCTTGCTGTTGGAGAGGGCGACAAGGTGGCTATATTTGACGTTTTGCAGCTAATTGGACACCCAACTGCAGCACCTGTGACAGCAGATAAGGCCAATGTGAAGCCACTTTCTAGGAACAATGTGCGTTTTGAAATAGTGCATGTAGTCTTCAATCCTATTGTTGAAAATTATCTTGCTGTGGCAGGATATGAAGACTGTCAGATCCTCACCATAAATCCTCGTGGTGAAGTGACTGATCGTCTTGCTGTTGAGCTAGCTTTGCAAGGCGCATATATACGAAGGGTGGAGTGGGTTCCTGGTTCTCAGGTCCAACTAATGCTAATTACTAACATGTTTGTAAAGATATATGACCTTTCACAGGATAGTATCAGTCCCATGCACTACTTTACACTTTCTGATGATTTGATTGTTGATGCAATGCTTATTCCAGCTTCAATGGGAAAACTTTTTCTTCTTGTTTTATCAGAGACTGGATCTTTGTTCCGGCTGGAAGTGTCAATGGAAGGTGATGTTGGGGCAAAAGCTTTAAAAGATGTAATTCAGGTGCAGAAGAAAGCTACACAGTCAAGAGGTCTCTCTTTATATTTTTCCTCAACATACAGGTTGCTTTTCTTGTCTTATCAAGATGGAGTGAACCTTATCGGACGCCTGGATGCTAATGCGACATCGCTTACGGAATTATCAGCTATTTATGAAGATGATCAAGAGGGTAACATCTGTCCAGCTGGATTACAACATTGGAAAGAATTGTTTTCAGGGAGTGGAATTTTTATTTGTCTCTCAACTTTAAAGTCTAATGCTGCTTTGGCAGTGGCTATGAGCCCTCATGACTTATTTGCCCAGAACATGAGATATGCTGCAGGATCTTTGTCCTTGGTTGGCGTGGCCGCATATAAACCTTTCTCAAAGGATAAAATTCATTGTCTTTTTTTAAATGATGATGGAAGCCTTCAAATTTACTCCTATGTGCCAGTAGGGGACGTTTCTCCATCAAACAACAATGTTGAGCAAACAAAGAAATTAGGATCCAACATCCTAAATAATAGAGTTTATGCTGGCTCAAAACCAGAGTTTCCTCTGGACTTCTTTGAGAAAGCAATTTCCATCACAGCTGATGTGAAGATGAGTTGTGATAACTTTAAGAACTGTGATTCTGAAGGCATTAAGCAAAAGCTTGGTCCAGACGATGGGTTCCTTGAGAGTCCAAGTGCTGCAGGATTCAAGGTAATAACCTTGTTTAACGTGCTTGTTACCTTTTGTAAAAACTCACATGTCTTAGGATTCCAATGAAGTTTATTTTTTATTTTTTATTTTTTTTATTAATATTAAATCTTCTCTTTGGTTTCAGATAACCATATGCAATACAAATCCAGATATTGTTATGGTTGGCGCTCGTTTAAGTGTGGGCAATACATCCCTAAACCATATTCCTTCTGAAATTACAGTTTTCCAAAGGGTAGTTAAATTGGACGAAGGAATACGTTCATGGTATGATATTCCTTTTACAATTGCTGAATCTCTTCTGGCTGATGAGGAATTCACAATCTCTATAGGCCAAACCTTTAATGGTACTAGTCTGCCTAGAATAGATTCTTTGGAAGTTTACGGACGAGCTAAGGATGAATTTGGTTGGAAAGAGAAAATGGATGCAATTCTGGACATGGAAGCCCATGTATTAGGAGCTAATGCGGTTGCTCAGGGTCCTAGAAAGAAATGCCGGACTATGCAAGCTGCTTCTATTCACGAGAAGGTTGTGGCAGATGCACTGATACTCCTTTCGAGGACATGTTTATTAAGTAGGTCACATTTTGCTACTGACATTGAAGGTGCTAATTTAGTGCTCAATGAGTTAAAGTGCAAAAATGTTCTGGAGACAATTTTTCAAAGCGACAAAGAACCATTATTGCAATCTGCTGCTTGCCACGTTCTTCAATCTTTTTTCCCAAAAAGGGAGATTTACTACCATGTATGTATGTAGAGAATGCTTAGGTCCATTCCATTTAATTAGATAATTCTTCGATATTGCATCCTCAAAGTTAACGTTTTTCCTTGAATTTTCTTGGGCCTTACTGCTCAGGTCAAAGATACCATGCGCCTTTCAGGAGTTGTTAAATCTTTCCCCATGCTAATTTCAAGAATTGGAATTGGTGGAGCTATTGCCGGATGGGTTATAAAAGAGTTTACATCACAGATGCACGCTGTCTCCAAAATTGCCTTGAACCGCAGATCAAACATGGTTTCTTTTTTGAAATTGCATGGTAAATCTTAATTGTTTTCTTTGATGAACATACCATTATGTTATCCATTTATCCATGATATAAATTATGAATTCTCACATGTTTTATCATTAAAACATAAGCTATATAAAGCATTACATGAGATGTACTGAAGATGCATAAAGATGAACTTATGTATATAGATAGCACTCTTATTTAGCAAATTCTCTAGTATCTCTTTAAAAATCTACGTCTTAGGATATCATGTTACTTTAGTTCAATATGAAACAGATAGGGTATTCAAGCACATTATTTTGAAGTTACATTTGATTTAACAATATGGTATTTTGGGTCTACATATAATTCAAATACGCTGGATGCAATTGTTGATTGTGGGATGAAATGCCAATTTGATCATTTATGATTTCATTTGTCTGTGATAGTTTTCGTCTTTGCTTAGTTTGATTTAAGTTGTTTAGTGAAAATTTTAGCAAAACTAATCTGTATAACCAATTTATGTGAATATGTTAATCTAAAAACTGAAAGATATCATTTTTGGTTGTGGGATGAGTTGCTGTTGTTTTCATATATAGCCTCGTTTTTATGTGATAGTTGTTTTTGTTTAGTTTTGTTTAACTGGTTTAGTGAAAAATTTAGCCAAACAAATGCGTAAAACCAATATATATGAAACTATTAATCTAAGGGCTTTATCACCCTTCTCAAAAGATTTACACATGAAGATCAATCAAGGCTACAAAAACTTACGAGCAAGAAAAGAGAGTTTGTGATGTAGAACGAACATGCGAAGGAGCTTCTTAAGAGAATTAAAAGTGAATGACAACGTAATTTCAATTAATATCTTATTGAGATAGCAAGAAAATCATTCAAAATTTCGTAGTTATCAACTAGCTTAGGTGAAGAAGTATGTAGATTAGCCAAAATCTTCAGACAACCAAAAATAGTAGCAACACTAAAAGCTATTACAACAATCCGTCATTTAATAACGAGAAGTTCACCTTGGGGAAATACTCTCTCAACTAGACTAGGCTTTGCGGGAGAAGAACTTCAGCACACCAAACGATGCCACGAGGAAGGTTGCGATGCCAAGGGTCTTGAGCCACGGAGAGGTCGACGATGACGCGGCGGGCGTGAATGCTTGACTTTCGAGACTCCAAGTGTGCTTTGCAAATTTCCGGTCGTAGATGCTCGCAAGGATTGGTACGACTCTTTCCAAGTACTCTTCTACGGTGGTCTCGTCTTCAAATCCTAC